GTCTGAAGACAGTCTGACGACAGTCTGAAAACAGTCTGAAGACAGTCTGACGACAGTCTGAAAACAGTCTGAAGACAGTCTGACGACAGTCTGAAAACAGTCTGAAGACAGTTTGAAGACAGTCTGAAAACGTTTGAAGACAGTCTGAAAACAGTCTGACGACAGTCTGAAAACAGTCTGACGACAGTCTGAAAACAAGTTTGAAGACTGTCTGAAAACGTTTGAAAACAGTCTGAAGACAGTCTGATGACAGTCTGAAAACAGTCTGACGACAGTCTGAAAACAAGTTTGAAGACAGTCTGAAAATGTTTGAAGACAGTCTGAAAACAGTCTGTCGACAGTCTGAAGACAGTCTGACGACAGTCTGAAAACAGTCTGAAGACAGTCTGAAGACAGTCTGAAAACAGTCTGAAAACAGTCTGAAGACAGTTTGAAGACAGTCTGAAAACAGTCTGAAGACAGTCTGAAAACAGTCTGACGACAGTCTGAAAACAGTCTGAAGACAGTCTGAAAACAGTCTGACGACAGTCTGAAAACAGTCTGACGACGGTCTGAAAACAGTCTGACGACAGTCTGAAAACAGTCTGACGACGGTCTGAAAACAAGTTTGAAGACAGTCTGAAAATGTTTGAAGACAGTCTGAAAACAGTCTGTCGACAGTCTGAAGACAGTCTGACGACAGTCTGAAAACAGTCTGACGACAGTCTGAAAACAAGTTTGAAGACTGTCTGAAAATGTTTGAAAACAGTCTGACGACAGTCTGAAAAACAGTCTGACGACAGTCTGAAAAACAGTCTGACGACAGTCTGAAAAACAGTCTGACGACAGTCTGAAAACAGTCTGACGACAGTCTGAAAACAAGTTTGAAGACTGTCTGAAAACGTTTGAAAACAGTCTGAAGACAGTCTGAAAAACAGTCTGACGACAGTCTGAAAACAAGTTTGAAGACAGTCTGAAAACAGTCTTGACGACAGTCTGAAAACGTTTGAAGACAGTCTGAAAACAGTCTGACGACAGTCTGAAAACAGTCTGAAAACAAGTTTGAAGACTGTCTGAAAACATTTGAAGACAGTCTGAAAACAGTCTGACGACAGTCTGAAGACAGTGACGACAGTCTGAAGACAGTCTGACGACAGTCTGATGACAGTCTGACGACAGTCTGACGACAGTCTGAAGACAGTCTGAGGACAGTGATTTGTCTGAGGACAGTCTGAAAACAGTCTGAGGACAGTCTGAGGACGGTCTGAGGACAGTCTGAGGACAGTCTGAGGACAGTGAAGACAGTCTGAGGACAGCTGATCTGATGCTCTCGTCTCTTTAGTCTCAACAAGACGTCCAACCCAGAACCATGGGAGAGACTGGACCCATCCAAACCCCAGAAGGTAACTCTTGACTTCAGTTTGTTTTATGTTTGTCAGGTTTTCAGGCTTTAATCCAGCAGCTGAAATCTGCTGAGTCATCGTTGTTTACATGGAGGACATGATGTCTAACATCCGTCCCTCTGAGACATGTCTTCACCTGTGGACAGCCGGAGACAAATACATTTCTGTGATGTTCCCACAGCTCCTCACCTTCAACCAGCAGTGGAAACCAGTGGAGGAGCTGGAGCTGGTCAAATCCATGACCAAATGAGTCCTTCAGAACCGGCCTGACCCGGTCCACCTGATCCACCTGCCCCCATCAGTCCAACAGAATCCTTTCTGCACAAACTGGGACCGTTTGACACTCAGTGTGTGGACATTCTTCTGCTCAACTGATCTGGCTCTGCACAGGAACCAGCCGACCCGTTTGGTACCAGAGGTTCTGGATCTCCTTAATGTTGAAGATATTCTTCTGTCGAGTGTCAATAAATCCTGAATTTCCTCAGGCGGGACAATAAAGCCTGTTTCTATTTTACTTTATTCTGTTCTAAATGATCCTTTTAATCAGCTGAGTTTTTATTTGTCCTCAAGACCCGACTTTCATTTCAGGAATACATGTGGCTGAGCTGGATGACCTTTAGCTACTATCAGCTAAAATTCAGCTACTATCAGCTAAAAAATTCAGCTATCAGCTAAAAATTCAGCTGCTAATAGCTAAAATTCAGCTACTATCAGCTAAAATTCAGCTACTATCAGCTAAAATTCAGCTGCTATCAGCTAAAATTCAGCTACTATCAGCTAAAATTCAGCTACTAATAGCTAAAATTCAGCTGCTATCAGCTAAAATTTAGCTACTAATAGCTAAAATTCAGCTATCAGCTAAAATTCAGCTACTAATAGCTAAAATTCAGCTACTAATAGCTAAAATTCAACTGCTATCAGCTAAAATTCAGCTACTAATAGCTAAAATTTAGCTGCTTTCAGCTAAAATTCAGCTGCTATCAGCTAAAATTAGCTGCTATCAGCTAAAATTCAGCTACTAATAGCTAAAATTCAGCTGCTATCAGCTAAAATTCAGCTATCAGCTGCTATCAGCTGCTATCAGCTAAAATTCAGCTGCTAATAACTAAAATTCAGCTATTGTATGCTTAAATTCAGCTATTCTTAGCTACTAATATCAACTAAAATTCAGCTACTGTAAGCTAAAAATAGCTACTAATAGCTAAAATTCAGCTACTGTAAGCTAAAATTAGCTACTAATATCAGCTAAAATTCAGCTATTGGCTAATATCAGTTAAAATTCAGCTACTAATAGCTAAAATTCAGCTACTGTAAGCTAAGATTCAGCTATTAGCTACTAATAGCTAAAATCCAGCTACTGTAATCTAAAATTCAGCTATTCGTAGCTACTAATATCAGCTAAAATTCAGCATCTGTAAGCTACGATTCAGCTATTCTTAGCCACTAATAGTTAAAATTCAGCTACTATAAGCCAAGATTCAGCTATTCTTAGCTACTAATATCAGCTAAAGTTCGGCCATCTTGCTGGACAGTGAACAGGAATGAGCTGTAAATGGACCTCCTGAAGGTTTCATTCTGTTCTGTGGGTCAGGAGATATTTTACTAACAGACACAAGGTAAACTCACCTGCCTCATGTGGTCCTGGTCTTCCCTTCAGGTCTGCCTCACAGTGACTCAGCAGAACCAGGTGGGTCCAGACGCTCCTCAGTCACAGTGAC